GTGGATAGACGCCAACCAGATTAAAATTCGCCATTTAAACAGAACTAAAGGTTTGTGCTGCCAAATCGCTTCAGGTGGGAGGCGTTCTTGACTGTAAAACTTCTCTAACTGAGGATACTGAAGCATCATCAGCTGTGCGCCCGCTAATTCGTATAACTTTTGTTAATTAAGAACAGGGGTTAACTCCCGAAGCATGAGGTTGTAGCTTCATGCGCACTTATTAAAATTTTTTCTTTGTGCTTCTTTGAATTTTGACGAGCTTACACCACTACTGTATTTCCATTAATCTCTAAAAGAAATTTCTCAATAAGAGTATAAGTAGGGTGTTCAGCTAACAAAATTAGCGATAAGCTCGAGGTTGGAGGCCCTTTTGATAGTACTAATGTAAACGGATAACCTGGCGCACTGTTTACATCTTCCACTAACCTAAGACGTTCAAACTAGATAAAAGACAGCCCAGCGTTTTCTGAAAGTGACACGATCCTCCCTTTCCAGTACGACGTGCAACCGTTCGGCCATCTCCAATGCTAATTGGCCAACGGGGTCGATTGGATGAGCCAATGGGCGTCGAGGAGTGGAGAATACGGCAGATGTACATTACCGCCCATTGCACTGTCACACGCGACTGCGAATGCGCATGCTCACGTGACTACTCGGCATGTCTGTCAGCTTTTGCCTATCCCTCCTTGTCCTCTTCTTCTCCACCTCTCTACCCACCAGGTCCCTTGAACATCATCTTTCCTCTTCTACTAATGACACCAATGTTGTGGCCGACATGGACTCAAAGTTTGTGAATTTAATTTGCCCCTCCAGTCACCCAATATGGTTTGTGCCAGATTCTTCTGTCGCTCTCCAGCCGAGCGCCGGCAATCAATTAAGAATAGGTCTAGACAAGGAGGTAAGACCTTTCCAAAGAGGTTTCTACACATGCTGCCCTCGTGCTCGTGCTCTATGGCCAAACGATGTTGTGCAACGCGTTCAAATTCCCTCCTGTTGTCCCTGTTGCTCATGGCCGGAAGAGGAGTACTGTTCAACAAGTCTTTGGAACACCTCTGTCAGACTGAATGCTCCTCAATGCTTGCAAATTTTTCTTTTCACAGGAATGGTTCCTTGCAAGGAAACTGTCCTTACCCTGCCCTGGCGATCTAAGGTGCTTATTCCTTGTCCTGCGCCCTTACCAACTTCAGAGTTGCACATTTATAGTCAATTGCCGAAAATTAAGCTATCTCGAAGACTCTGGTTTGACACTTCAACCACCGATGTGGGAGAATTTGATTCGCGTTTTGGAGTGTGCACAACGCAGCAGCGTATTCCAGGTGGGTACATGCAGTTGTCATGCGAGTACTCCACCTCGAAACGCCTGGTTAGACCACAGGCACCTTTCGCTCCACCAACGATTCTCCCAAACGTGACTTGTAGACTTCTTCCCATTGAACAGGAGTTTGCTATGGACAGCGCAACAATCCCTGAATTCAGGGTCTTTGGACCGCTGAACTTGACGGTTGCATGCACGGCTCTGTACACAAACATTTTCATTGCTAACAGACCTCCTACATTGTGCTTTCGTTGGCGTAGCATTGTCGAGTCTCCACAAGGCCATCCCTCAACTTGGTCCCGATTTGAGTGCATACCGACCACACTGATCGAGGACACTGTCACAGTGGCTGCAACCAACGCGTACAATCTTACAATTGAGGATTCTTGCACAACTGTCAAAGTTGAGATTGTGGAACGTAACAGAGCTACAGTCGCTCAGAAATTCTCTGTGCGTCTTCGTGTGTCACCTCCATCATTGAAGAATCGAATGTTTGTAGAGGTTGCCCATCCCGCTGATTCAAAAGCTTATCGCCTGTTCTCTGATAATTCAACCCGCAATCAGACGTTGGTAGTATTGGCTACCTCGTTGGATCACTTGACATTGGAATTTTATGCGCTTGACGAAGTCACATCCAACACCTCCTGTTCATCCCCCACCCTGGGGAAAGCGCACTTTTCTCTCAATCGAACCGTCGATAGATGGCTATGCGACGTAGTTCTACCAGTCCATCTATTCGACATCACTTTGCGTCAAGGTGATTTGGAGACTCGAGTGACCGTCTACCCATCACCAAGTGCTCTTCTACCTCGTTCCACTATAGCCGGTTTACGCGGTTCCGTAGACGTTCACATTAATGTCACATGCCCTCTGGTTGAAAGTGAAACAAAAACTCTTTTCCATACAGCGGCCGATCGTGTCCGCTGGCTAGTCTATCGAGGTGATGAGCTGGTGAATGAGACGTACACGCGAGTCTCCTGGCTGCTAATAGCCCCCCTTATAAACTCCACTGCAGTCAGTATGGAGCCAGTGCTAGAATGGTCGTCGCCCTCAGCCTCCTCTCTGTCTGATTTTATCGCCAATCTGTCCACTTTAAGTCTCCCTCCTGTTGCAGACTTCTCGAGAAGACTTTGTGTCTCCTGTGAGACATTTTTCACCCTCGGAGGCAGTAGTAAAAGCAACAGGGAGTGTGTCACTCTGGAGGCGGAGGAGCCACGTGAGGAGAATCTATCTGTCGTTGAGACCGCTTTGCGGCGTTTTTCATCTGCCTTTGCTCCTATTCAAGTGTCTAATGTTTCCAATCCGAGTTTTCGAATTACTACAGCTTTTCCTTCCGATGATTTGAGAAGGAATGGGACCATTTCCTCTCTGAGTGTTTACGCAGGTTCAGTGCTTGAATTGCGATGTAGCATGAGTCGAACAAGTGATTCCACACGTTGGCCTCTCATTGGGTTCACTGCCTATGGTGGAAAGCAAAGTCTTCCTGACGGAACCCTCCAACTCTACGCGCTCCCCTTCACCCTTGAAAGTCGACTCCGAATTCACACCTCGATGGTGAAGACATCTGACTTAGGCGCCTATTCATGTTTTACTGTTAATGCTGATGTGGTCCATCTCTTCGTGAACATTGTTCCCTCTAGAGTTCCCGAAATCGTTGAACCCAACCAACCTGTCCGATACTTTACTGCCAACGAGCTCATTCGACTTACGTGCCGAGCTATCGGTGGTCCTGGGCCCATAATTGTGTGGCGTCTTGTGAACAGAACCCAGGAACTTGAGACGACTGTTTTAAAGTGGTGTAATGAATCCTACCTAAAGGAGGAGAGCAGTTGCAGTTTGGTGTATGTGCCTCTCCCGCTTGCTGAGAATGTTACAATTGAATGCGAAGCCATGAACTACCTCGGAAATGCAGTTTATTCACTTAACATGATTCGTATAAGTACTAATAATGAATTGGCTGGAAGCATGCTCTTTGGCAGGTTATGGAAAAATTACATGGTCTGGATTATTGTGCCCCTCATTGCCATCGTCTGTTTCGTAGTCTGTTTGGGGGCTTGTCTATGGCGAAAGGGTAGGCAGATGGCGAAAGCTGAGAAGTTGATTAGGATGGACAATCTGATTTACGGCCGTCCTGACAAGTTATTGGCTGATGTCAGGAGTTCCAATCCGATCTATCGGGAACTAATGTATAGTCTCATGCCCACTGAAGAAATGCGCAATAGATGGTGCTTGGATCGACGCAGTTTGCGACCCTTTCCCCAACCCCTTGGCAACGGTCACTATGGCACTGTTCAAAAGGCCATTTATTATGCTCCCCAGGAGAAGGGTAAGAAGTGTGCGGATGCCTTTTTTGTGGCTCTTAAGTCACCCTCCGCTGAAATTGTCAGTCTTTCATGCTTCCGCAACGAGATTGCTCACTTGATTAAATTATCGAATGGGCCAAATATTGTCAAAATGATCGGCTGCGCCTTTGGCGAAAAAGGTGATCTGAGGGACACACTATTGGTGTTGGAATTTTGTCCCAACACCAGTCTCAGCGACTTTATCCGTCGCATGCACTATCCCCATGGATTGCATGACAGCCGATCCATATATGTACGCAATACGGAGGGTGGGATCAGCACTGGAAGTACACAGATTTCGACAACACCCTTTCCTTCCAGTGATAGTTTAGTCTCCCAACTTGCATGGGACGCTTACAATGCACCCACTCGAGCCATCCACTGTGACTACATGGAGGAGGATGAGGCAGTGAAGCTGCAAGGCAAGCGAAGAAGACGAGGTGTTGTTAGTGGCCGACGCACCACAGCGTTCGTGCACTCGTGTCCGACTCGTAACTCGTTTTCCATGTTTCTGCAAATTGCGACGGGCATTTCCAAAGGGCTGGCGTTTCTAGCTGAAAACAACGTCATTCATCGAGACTTGGCAACTCGAAACATTCTTATGGATGCCAAATACGAACCGAAGATTTGTGATTTTGGACTTGCAGTGACGGTGGATTCCCTGCAAGACTGTTCCACTGATATGTCTCAACAACCTTCCACTGGCTGCTATCATATACTCACCTTCACAAAGCAGCTACCTTTCCGAATCCTTCCGCCGGAGGCACTCTCCATGCAGCTATTTTACCTCTCCTCGGACATCTGGGAATTTGGCCTTCTGCTCTGGCAGATGTTCTTTTTCGAGACCCGGAAACCCTTCGAAAATGTTCAGAGTTCTGATGCTCTTTTCCGTTTCCTATCCTCTAGTCGTCGTCCTCTAAATGGTTTTCTCAACTACGTGGACTCCAGAAACCCTGGTGACAGCGTTCAAGCCCCACCTACTATAGATCGACCTCCGGGTATCCCTGATGCTTTGTGGGAGGTAATTTGCGACTGCCTGCGCTTTCAGGCATCGGAAAGACCGAGTGCATCTGAAGTGCGTCAACGCCTTGATGACTGCTACGCCACTTATGAAGAAATTGGCGATGGCTGTGCCGTCAATGAACGGAGAAGCAACTACCAAATGCTTCGTAAAAGGGTTCCAAGTCACGAGGACATTTGTGGAAGTTCCTCCTTCGTGCAGGATGTGTTTGGAGAGCCTAGACCTCACCTAGCCGCCTATGAGAACATTGAACAGGCTCACAATAGTGCTGGCTACTTGGAAAGCTTTCCGTCGTCCTCTGTTTGACTACGCACCTCTTTGACTCGTGCCCTCAGCCCTCCATCAACCAACTGTAAATACCTGACATTAATTTATTTTTTATCAATGCTGCAGATTCCCAAGTGTACACACCTTCAACTGGACGCCCTCAGAAATGCAAAGGCATCTGCACTTTGCTTCCAGTTCTCAATTGTCACTTGACTAATGCCTGGTGTGGCCATTGTAACTGTGACCCCAGTGTAAGGAAGCAGTAGGCTTGTTATGCCCTCTAATGTCCGCGGGAGCCTCGGTATAACACTTCACTTAAAAAAAATGTAATCTTGGCCATGATGGACGCGCGAGTAACTGGGATGGCTCAAGTGTTTATTCTCATCTAATGTGGGTGCTCCCTCATTTCGGTACACCTTCACTCAAAGGTGTATAAGAGGATCTTGAGCGGTTTTTTGTAAGATGTACGCATTGAATGACAAATTTGCAAAGTCACCAATGCATTCGTCAAGTTCGAGAAGTGGTGCGATGCTTAGCTGCGTAGGCAAGAGAATGCAAGACAAACTCTGGGCATCAGTTTGTCAGTCCTTTGACGTGTCTGGATCACACCTCAGGCCAAACATAGCAGGTCCCAAAGGAAGGCAAAGTGGGAAGTGCGGAGAGGGGAGAGGCAGGGGAAGGGGAAAGGAGGGAGGTAATTTAAGGCACGGTGGACTGCACGTGAGTGTGCCTGTGTGCGTGGTGACTCAGGTATCGTTCCCTCTCTCCCTCCATCTCCCTCTCTCTCTGTCAAGGCCATTCGTTGGGCGTTTGAGTCATGCATGTAGTGTGACTCAACGGCAAAACGGCAGCCGCTACCGTAGGTTTGGGACAAAAAATGTGTGGTCTTGGCCTACGGACGCATGGATGGATAGGAAAGAGGAGGGTTTTGCATTGCAAAAACGGAGTTTCCACATTGGGTCTCTTTGTTGTTGGTGTGTGACGGGTTCCGCGTCTCCCATGGTGTCGATCCTTACATTACCATCCACCGTGCAGCTGTGTGCGTGCTTTGGTTGGTGTAAACAAAACTCCGCTTGCAACGGGTAGTTTTAAGACCAACATCAATAGTAAATTCAAAAGCACCCTTTGTCACTTCAATTTGAGAAGTTGACGCGATCTCTTGTTCCTACTTGTGCACTAATAGTGATACACTACCACCAAACATTAATTTAAGTCTGAGTTACTGTGCCGGAGTCAAGTTAATGCTCGGGAAAGAGCTTTGAAAAGTAGAAAAATTCTAAAAAGCAATCTCGACTCCATAGCTCCGCGAATGGCTGATAACGTACAGGCGTGTATTTGGGAATAAGGGTCATGCTGCCGGGTAGTACTTCCGGCTTAGCAGAGACATTAGGAGGCATCCTTGATAGGCCTGGAAGGTTGTTTGAGCAAAACAGCTAAACAGACACTCTTAATGGTTCCAATGAGCAGTTTTTTTTACCTAATTGATGGAATCAACCAAGTTACGATGAAGATAAGTTCCTATTACTCTATGTTGATTGATAAGGTCTATCTCAGAAGCAAATGAATGTATTATATTTGCTATACAATATAGCAACCATCTTGAGCAATCATTGCCAAAATCTTAACTAGAAATTTAAATGACCTCAGACTTACTTATGGGAAAAAAATGGACACAAGTAGCTATAGGCTTCACTAAGCTGTCCTTATATGAATTTGAGGAACCAGGTCTGATTGCTCTACCGTAATGCAGGGAGCAGATGTGGAAGTTAAGACAGCATTCGTACTGCAATCCTAGCAGTCCTGTCAGAGCTTATTAAAATAAAACGATCCCGATGGTGGTGGTGGAGGAGGAGGAGGAGGTGGAATGTCCACGATGGCTTTGTCGACAGACAATAGGACGGGGAGAGAGGAGGTGCGAGGTGGGTGTCTGAGTCACAAGATGCGAGAAGGAGGACAGAACTTGCAAGCTGCGCGAATACCCACAGCTACGCATGCGCCAGTCACGTCGGCCAGGCCCCCATGAGTGCGTACCCTCAGCGTGTTAAAGGGATTGGGGAGGGGGAGAAAGCGATGAGAGTGAGATTAATGGCGAACAAGCCCAAAGTAAGGCGACGGGGCTAGTGATCATCCAGTCCCTTTGTTCGGCTAGTGTGAAAAGGCCCTTGTTTGATGAAGGCCTTACTTATTTGGCTTAAAGGAGAAATTGGGAGAAATGTGGTTTGTCCAGATAACCGCTGTTATATATCAGAGTGATGTTGCCGTTTATAGCACTAGCACTTAAGCCTTTGTGATTTTCAGCCACCATCTTACCAATTATAGCGCTATTTTAAAGTTAGTCCTATGGAGAGACAGCCACTCTCTGCGAATGCTTAAGACCGAATTTCTCCCACGCTTTGACATGTTTGGGAGCAGCTAATTTAAATATGCGGGAACCATATCTTAGGAATGCTAAAGCAGAGGAACTGTAAGAACTTAATCCGAATTGCCAATGTCGCCCCACTTTGTTGGTCGCTAAATAGAAGCCGATGAACATTGAAAATATATTTCAGCTAAACTGATTCCTTGTTGTAGTAGTTGGGAGATGGAAAGCAACGAGCTGGGTTGTCTTAAGCAGCTCTCATGACACAATTTGGAGGGGAGAGGCATTGAGAGGCCTGTGGGAACCAACGATGTGGACTACTGCCAATAGGATCAAATGTTTTATCCCCTGATTTTGGTCTTTGGCTTGTGAGGGGTTAGTGGAGCTAAGCTGACAACGCCAATGTCAGAGAGGCGGCATCTAACGCTGCCGATCTGCATAGGTATCGGCTACCACCTTAAATTTCGCCCACTGGCCTTTCTGCGCACGTATAATGAAGCAGCAGTCAGAAGCGCGATCATGTAAGGTCTTTACTAAGCACTCGAGCCACTCCGAACTATGCACTGTTTCTCTCAAACTGGATGTAGTTTTTAATTGTCGGTTAATCTAAACACAACACTACTCTCTCTCTCCTCCTCTAAGGTAAGGTAAACACATACAATGGCATGCACACGCGCACCGATGCCTTTCACGGTGTAATCAATAGGCTGGGTTGGTCTGACACTCCATCCATGCGTGCTTGAATGGATGGATGGATGGCAGCATACCCGCTTTAAGTGATGCGAGATGAGGCCACTGGAAACTAACACAACTGCATGAGCCACTCTGAGCCTTCCAATTTAATGATCCAATCTGGCATGTGTGGTACTAAAATGTGCAAAGCCCTTTTGCAGCGTCCCACGCTCACGTTATGCATCTGGCTAAAGCTTAGCAGATCCTTAATTCTGTCTCAAAGTCTGTTGTCGTTGGAATTGTGCAAAGGAGAGCATCGAGGGTTATGGAGGATCTAGCTGCCAGCTAAAAGATCCCATCTGTTTACATAGGAATTCACCTGAAGCTGTGACTGTACTGCAAAAATTACTAGAAGTCGCATTGTGCCGCCTCTATTAGGAATTCTTTTGTCGGCAAGGTAAATGGCAATGTGCTAATGCTACACAGCCTGTCTAGCGACTTCTAAGAGGGACAAGCAATTCTGTTTTGAACAGTCTCATCAAAATGCAATACGTCCGCTTCAAGATTTTTGATTTGCTCGAGTAATCTCGACAGACTGGTTACCATCTGCCGCACAATTTTTGCCATATAAAACGACGTGTAGTAAAGTAGGATTTCCTGCATGCTTCTGCAACACGTTGTTTGCTCGATTGCGGACATCAGTGGCGTGTGCTTGGGTGGCCATCCTGCTCCTGTCCTGCGGGATATGCCAACACCCCATTGCTCGTCAAGCTTCATACCTTCTTTTGTTAAGTGAGAAGTCTTAGGTCGATACAACTGCACTTTAAATGGCATGGGAAGCTAATGTGAAGCCTAATGCACAAAAGTCCAACAGCTGTCTGTTCAACTGAGGTCCTTTTGCATGTGTTATCAGTTGTACTTTTATGTGAAGGCAAGTGGATACATTTGGACCTGGGTAACAAAACTTTAAAAATGGGTGCCACCAACTGGAAAGTTTACACGAACCGCCTAGCTATGAATTACATTATACTAGCCTAAGTTGAATGATAGTCATTTGCAAAACTGGTCGTTAATCCAATCCAAACTGACAAGAACTGTTGCGCCGCCCTGAACATGTCGATTTAGTGCGGCAATCCAAAAAGATTCCTCTCGCCACCTTCACAATTCCTGTCACTGAAAATTAGCAGTGGTTGTTAATTGGCTTCTACAATTTGAAATCGAATTTGTTTTGAAAACTAGGATGTGGGTAGAAAATTGCTAACATCTTTTCGACTTTCAAACACTGAAGAGTTTGGGAAATATCACCAAAAACTACTATTAAGTACACATGGCCAGTGATGACGAGTCACAGTATCTACAGTCCACTGACATACCGTCTTATAGATAAATCAGAACCCCTTGGAATTGGTAACGTAAACTCTTCGCTGAATAGACGTACAAGTAAGCGAGGGGGTAGTCAGGCGCACACAAAAAGCGATTTATCACACCGAAACAAGTCACTATCAGGTGCACCAACGAACATTACAGTGATGCGTTGTTTATGCCTGCGCTTCAGTAATAAACCGTTTTTTCGCTTTACCCAAAATGCGTATTTATTTACTGAATGCTACTACTAATAAAAAATTACGAGTAAATATGTAGTGTAGGACCGAAACAGACTGGAGTTGACATCAAAGACTACTTAAACAGTGCCGTCAGCCTAATCCAGTGAAATGCTGAACTACCAGCAAAGTATAAGTAGGACTATTTAAAAAAGATTAAAATGCCACAACGAAAACTTGGTAGAGGCCTAAGAAGGTATTACTAAGGTTTCAGACCATCAGAGTTCGGCAAGAAATGCTGGTAGTTATTTTAGCTGCTCCATTAAGAAACCTGATCTAAAGTATTTTTTTCGATGTCTGGGCACAAAATTGCCTGAATTATGACTTCTGGCTGTAGGCAATTTGAGCAAACGCAGATGTAGCATTGATAACAAAAAAAAAATAGGAAAAATACGACCAGGAAGAAA